TTAGTAAAAAGTTGTCAATAAGAAAAAATGCAAACAAATATTTGTTCTAATTTTTACCGAGTAAAATATAGTAACATTATAATAAACACTACTGTAATTGTTAGTTTTAAATTGCAAATCGAATGGTTAAATTTTATTTTAATGTATTTTTGATCAATTTGTTGTTGTTTAAAATCTTAAAACATTTTACTTTAAGTACGTGTACACAACGCATGTGTCTAATCTAACATGGTTAGCGATATTGGTTCAACAGTTTTTAAATATAATTTTACCATTTATATGTCTACAGGTCTATATTTTGTATACAATAATATATACTGATTTCTATAGAAATTTTATACTTATTTATCTATGTATATAAAATTATCTTGTCACAGCGATTGTTATTGAACTCCTCCGAAACGACTTGACTGATTTTATTGAAATTTTCTGTGTATATTTGGCAGGTCTGAGAATAGCTTCTAAACTATTATTAAAACACCTAGTTGTTAAGGGTGGCCCTACCCAAACGTATAAATTGTCAACTATTTTTTGAAATTTTTACAACATGACCCATGTGTTAATCTGAATCGTCTATAGTCTTACATGATAGATGGTAAATGTACAAATGGTTTTCCGAAAAATCTCACTAACGATACTATAACTAATGTCGACCGTTATCCAATATATCGTCGAAAAAATACCTATAATAGTGGACAATCCTTTATAAAAAAATATTAACGGGCAAACGTAAAATAAAAATTTCTTAAATAGAAACTACCATTTTTGACACTGGATTTGGTTCGCTCTATTTTTTTTTTTTTTGAACAACTTTGATCTTTACAGTTTTTAGAAACTGTATAATAAAATATGAAAAATAAAATTTAATTAAGGCCGTAACTGGGGGATCCAGGGGTCCGCCCCCCCCCCCCCCGAAATTTTGAAAAGTAGAAACATTTTAGCAATGCATATAGTTTATTAACTATAAATTGTATTAAATAACAATGTTAGACCCCCCCCTCCGAAATTTTTTTCCAGTTACGGCCTTGTATTTAATATCAATTTTCGTAAGTATTCAAAGGATTTTTTAAATTAGTCTCTTCGCTTCTTGGGAAAGTTGCCAGGACACTTAAGGCAGCTGACATATAGAACATAGTGAGTCACAACGTGACAATTGTGGTCTGTAGATACTGCATGATATTAAATCCGTATTGGTTATGTATTTGTTGTAGTTGTATTGTTTATAAATGCTAATCAATGAGAGGTGTAATAATGAATCTTCATAATCGAAATGCTAGTATTAACTCATTAAATAAATGATACACCTATTTGCTGATTTTTAATTGTAAAACATAAAACCCTAGTGTTCCATATTCTAAATTAATTTTATATTCATAGTAAAATGTATGAAAAAAGCATAAAATTAAAAAATGTAATAAAATTTGTTTAAAAAATCGGTTAAATATTATGATTAATAAAATTATACTTAATTAAAGGTAAATTATTTACCTTTTTGGCCGAATCATTTACTTTATTGGTATAATTTTAAAGCAAATAAAGCAATGATAAACCTTCGTATTTTAAAAGAAATCAGAGCGAAGGTTGGGATTAACAATTGTATATTATAAAACATTGAAATCGTATTTAAGAGTCGTTAATATTCTTATTTATAATTTTGCATTATCTTATAATCTTTACTACCTAAGTTAAATTTACTTATATCTACATATTTTTTAAATGATTTAAAAAAACTCATGGTTAGCCTTGAATAGAATTTCCAAATCATAAAATCACTTAATTAATAAGAAGAAATATAAACTTTAGCGAAGAACATATTTTTTTAACATATATTTGGACTGGAAGAAAGAATAGCTGTGTCATCAGCGTATGTTGCTAGAATGGTGTTACTAGATTGAGGGATGTCTGCTGTGAACACATATTGATCAAGGGATAGATCACTACCCTGTGGAACTCCAGCATATATTGTGTGAGTAGATGAAATATCGTTACCCTGTACGAATGATTTTGTAGGTAAGATTTGATAATAGGATAGTAGGGAGCTGGCATGAATAAGCACACATTAACTATGCTTCATATGTACCCAAAAAAGTGAATTGAGGAATTACTTTTAAAGCAATTTGAATAACCGTATGCAACACAAGAAACAGGCATATTTAATAAATATTAGTTACTAAATAGTGTATAATTAATGTTGTGATATGTGGAGAATAGTGTTGATACAATATTTTGCCAACCCAAAACATGGTGGACAAATGATAACATAATCAATGCGTGCTTCAAGTGATATCGAGAGTTCGTCATCTAGTATAATATAGATATCTATGGAAAAATGAGATGCCTTTGGCGTCAAAAGCGTTCGCTATCTAGCAGACCCCCACCTAATTGTTTTTTTTTAAATTACTACGGTCATAGGCATGAATAGACCTGTATGACAAGGAGTGCCTACAATACTTTTGGGCCCTATCTTAACAAAATGCGTAGATACATTTAATAAATAATAATATATAAATAACGTAATAAACATAACTGTTCACGCAAACACGGTGAAAATGTAATGACCGGGTTACAGTTGGTAGCGCCGAATAGACAAATATGTTTGATCAGCCGAACGACCGTTAGGGGCGGTTGACAATATTTAAAAATGTCGTTGTGACGCTGTGCATCTGTTAAATATACTTATAAAAGTATAAATGAATATACTAAGTTTCATGAAAATATTATTACTTTTTATTTACAATTTACTATATTTCTTATAACTATAATTGGTTAGTCATAGAGTGATGAATCTATATGGTGGGGAGGATATACCATATAATGATTTGGGTACAAAAGTGATTATATGAAGTTATTAAATATTAAATTTTTACACGGGGGGCTAAAAAGAATTGGGGGGGGTGCTATATAAAGGAAATAAGTGGGTTGCTTATTGTTCTTTAAGGCCGGTTAAAAATGTATGCTGCACCCGACACAAAATCCTGCGCACGCCTATGGTTTTGCTTGTTAATAAAAAAAATACTAGCAAGGTATAATTTGAATTTTTTGCTCCATGGATAATAAATAATTGATAAAATGGTTTTAAACGTACCATCAATATATAAAATGGCACATTCAGTTAAATATTTCAAATTAGTTTGTGTTAAAAAAGCTATTATATCATATTTTTTTCTGAATTATTAATTAACAAAAATAATTCATCTCAATTTGTTTTGATTTTACCTAAATTTGTTAGAGCTAAATGTAGTTCATCTAAATTTATAGGCAACTTTGGAATCATACTTGAACGTGCATAGTGAATATTTTTTCTTAAGCTAGCCAAAGACGATCCGGTTTGCCGGAGAGGTCGGACTGTGCAGGCGGACTGCACTATTTTTCCGGAACGTGTGTGTAACAAGTTTGCGCAGTTTTCGGGGACTGTGCAGGCGGCCGGAAAAAAATCGAAAAACGATTCTTTTGGCCTGCGCAGTCATTACTGTACAGGCATACCGGATTGTGTGTGCCCGTGTGTTGGTATTACCGTCGTTCGACCGACTGGTTCACTTTTGCAGCATAGTACTTTTTATGTTTATTGAAGGTTAGGTTTTGTTTGTTTGTTGTCATTGTAACTTATTTTACAATTTATTACAACTTAACATATTTTACTATATTATATCTAACATATTTTATTAAATTATATAATATAATTATGAACCGTAAGAATTTGGAAGAATTTATAAATTTATATAAATTATATCTATGTATGTGGCAAACAAAATCTAAGCTTTACCATGACCGCCCATTAAGGGAAACGGCTTACAAAGTATTAGTGGACAAATTAAAAGAATCTGAACCAGATGCGAACAAGGATTTAGTGGTAAAGAAAATCAACAATTTAAGAAGCAGCGTCTGAAAAGAAAAAAAAATATGAAGAATATAAGAATATGAGAATCTGATTAAAAAAAAAAGCCAAAAATTATAAATATTTTGAACATTCGACACTCGCAGCTGAGGACTATTGGCCAGAAAGCGTGTGACTACGCAGTCCTGCGTATACGGCAAATCGTGGCGTGTATGTCGTCGCCGGAAATCGGTTAAAACTGTGCAGGTTAAACTGCGCAGGACGACCTCTCCGGCAAACCGGATCGTGTATGGCTAGTTTTATACGCATCGTGTCAATAGTAGTTAGACTACTTATATCTCCTTCGCGTAATTCTCGGTGTAAAACTTGCAACGCTTCAAACGGATCCTCCAAAGCTTTACGTTTTAATTTATTACTTACTTTTTGTCGAGTTAAAATATTGACATCGTCTTTTATGTTTTAATATTGCCAGTTATATCTGTTTTTTTACCATGAGTAACCAATTAATTACTTAAACATATAGTAAAATGAACATCAAAATCATTATTTGGTTTTAATTTTTTTAATAAAAGGGAATTCCTTTTTCAATTTTTCAGTGAATCGACATAGTCTTTTCGGAGCCATTTTATTACAATTAAATTCAAAAATCACGCGATTAAAAAGTACATAAATAGGTATAAAAAAATAATTATTACTTATTTCGTCAAAATAATAAAAATCAACCTATACACAGGCGACCTACACGAAGCAAGCTGGAGTGCACGCAGCCGAAAACTGTTTTTCTATCATGACGAAATTATTCGTTATTATTATTACTCGTCAAAACAAAGTAGTTTATCAATAACATTTTTATAAACAGAATATTATTCCAACAATCATTATGATGGATAAAAGTTCAATTGAAGTAAACGACAAAATTTATAATATTAGCTATACGACCTAACATTGATAATAATATAATAATAATAATAATAATAATAATAATAATAATATATTGGATTACTACCATTTGTTCCGCGATAAATTTGTTCCAAAAAATCACATTGATTTTATATAAAATTATAAGAGTGATTATATGGTGGTTTAAAACATGAAATTTCATGAAACCGGTATTATTTTTTGTCCCGACCGGGACTTATTGAATTACGGAACAGCAAGCTTGAAACCGGTAGTGTCCCGGCTAAATCGGGACGAATGGCAGCCCTATGTTATATGTCTCCTCAACAATAGTTAAATATGGTTAGTAAAAGGTTAAATATGTGTATTATTTATTATATTTAATAAACTGGCATAGTATTTAAAAAAAATATATGAATATGAATATAGATCTTAATATTTCAATAACAAAATAAAATATATAATTATGATTACAAATACATTATAAGTGTGTAGTAACCGGGGTCACTACGACATAGCTAAGATTGCTTTGTAGTCTTTTCCTTAACTTATTTTCCTTGGGTGTAGTCGTAAACAAATATTTATTAAAATACTTTTATAATTAGGGACAGGTTTTTAGTTAATAAGCTAAACAGGTTGTAAGGTTCAGAATATCTCCAACTCGGACATTGAATCTTATTAGAGTGTTATTATTATTATTATTATCGTTCGGGTGCATCAGTCAGACCTGCCTCCCGTTTCCCCTACAACGATCGATTTTCGGATGTGTTGATTTTTTTTTATATGTGAATTTTAATCCCGATATGAACGATTACGGACGGAATTTTGTTTTGTTGTTACCTAGCCATCGGTGGTGTCACAACGTATTTTTTTAATTATTTTATTATTATATATGTATTTCTTTTTACGACAGTGATTACGTAAACGGGATGGAGCAGAGCGTCCGGAATAACTCCCGATGGGGGGATATCCCGATGTCAGGTCGAATGTCGTTACCATTGGTCTGTATTGATGTCCTATTCTTGTTTAATGTTTGTCTGTTTTGAATTATTGTCTCTATAGTTGAGTTTGTTTTACCTGAAGGAGGTCTGTCTAATAAAAATTATGTAAACGTTTTCAAATGAAAATTTTGAAATCGAAGTTGGTTTCATCGTGATAAAAAAATAAATAAATCAATTGCATAATAATGAGTCTGGAAAGATTCATTCGCGATTAAATCCACGATCTTTGCGTATCCATCGCGAAAGCCCGTGGCTGGCGGCCCTGTTCATTATATTCAGTTTAAATGAGTCCACGTGGGATTTCGTTTCTAAATTGAATATCAATCGCCACACATGGTGACCCTGCCAGGATACGTTTTACGTAAGTTTTCAATAGACAAAAAAAAAATATTTATAGTGATGTAAAAAAAAAAAATAATAATAATAATAAAAGAATAAAAAAATTAAAAAATAATAATATTAAAAAAAAGAATTTAAAAAAAATGTAATTACTAAGTTATCTATCTTTTGAAGGAGCTGTCGTTTTGTTATTGAGTGCACTATCGATTGAAAGTTCTTTGTGACCATATTATATTTATTTTATTATTATTTATTTAGGGCCAACGTATTAGATTTATACTATATTGTATAATCGCACATTTCATTTATATTATCCGGGTGCTGAATGTGCTGTTTATTTGTTATGGGTCCTACTCGATTATTCCATTGGGAGGGATGTTTTTTTTGCATTTTATTTCTATTATATATTTTCAATTATTACATATTGGTCATTGTTTTGCTATTATATATTCATACTAATTTATAAATTTAGTTGTAAAATAATTTTTTATTTTTTGTTTTGACTGTTTATTTGAGTATCATTGGATCGACTGAATTCATACTTCAAAAAAAAAAAAAAAAAACGTTTTTTATGTGAGAGTTCATGGACCGATACTGGTAAACGTGAGATTCATCCGCCGGGTAGTCTAATTGACCAACTACTTCGAAGAGATCAAAAGAAACCAAACGTCATCATGCCCATGTCTAAAGAACCAGGTTCTTCGACAACCCAAAATACTGAAGCCACTATTGCTGACTTATTTATAATCATGGAACGAGCGAACGAAGAAAGCCGTAAACGTCATGAACAAACCTTCCAGTCTATTGCTGAGTGTAAAACCATGTGCATTAGTGACATCACTCGGATTAAGGAGTAATTTGGAGTTGTTGTTGAACGACTTAATGGACATGATGAGAAGATCACCAAGACTGAGAAAAATATATCTGTTCTACATCGAAATCAAGATTCGTATTAGGTCGGACAGAATAGATCAAATGAGAAATCACTTTCTGTGGTGAAGGAAGTTAAAGTTCTTAAGAGTCTGTAAAATATCTACAAGTCAGTGTCTCCGAATCTATGAAATCAACCCCAAATTGTGAACAAACCCATAATTCCAATGAAACGAACATTTCTGTACAGCATGGGTCAGCCCAATTGTTCGCATAGACAACATCATCAATGAATCAACCTGAAAGATTTTGTGATGTGATCTCGGAATTCAATGGACAACGACGAAATTTATATCTAGAGAAGTTTTTAGAACAACTTGATCGATATTTTCAATATGGATATTTTCATGATGGTCAACGAATTGATATTTTTCAACGCCGTCTGTCTGGTCATGCTAACGTTTGGTTAGAATCCCTAATGCCATTCCCAAATACTTATGACGAACTAAAGGTATTGTTCAGACAACAGTTTTGGTCCGCAGCGACCCAGAGAAAAATACGGAACGAAATTTTCTGTCCATACCAATATCGAACGTCTCATGGTATCGCTACGCATGCAATGGGGTGGATCGCCAAGGCAAAATATCTCGGGCCAGCCATTGATGCATATGATCTTATTGGTGTCATTATCCAGCATTATCCGTGTACCCTAGATATGACAATTACTTGCCGTAGTCCCCGTTCAACTCATGAACTTCTTGCTATCCTTACGGAATTCGAAGAATTTACGTCTTTTTGTGAGAAAGTTAGTAATAGACAATCGGAAAATACTCCCGAGCCATTTGGGGTCTATAATTACCGAGGACGATACCACAATGGACGTAGACCACCATTTGTCGATCATGATCAACGTAATTACACCCGGAATGGATATGACCATAAATTATTGACATTTATTTATTGATTTATAATTTTATATGATTTATATATTGATATGACCTGGCGTGAGACGTATTTCATGCAATCGGACGGAGTTGATTGAAATATACATCAATAATAATTTGAAAAATACGTAAGTTTAAATAACAATTATTAAGGGTTTATAACATATACGTCATTGTAGAATAGGAAAAAATCCCAGTCGGGATTCGTAGATAAAAGTTATGTCAATAAATCTATAATTGTCGTACAAAATGCGCATACGCGTCTGCTGAAAGGTTAAAGAACAACGAAAAGCCTTGAGTCTTTTCCTTGTTCTAAATTACTATTACGCATTACGTCTAACTATTTGAGTATAAACAGGGACGTAACGCCCATACTTATTCTGATACAATGCAACCAGACTTATGAATAAACCGATACTGTTAAGCTTATCGGGCTACCATTATGTTGTGTTTCAATAATATAATAAAATCACATTTATTACTTAAAAAGTGTTTTCTTTATTTTACTTCAAATTTCTACCAATGAACGTGTAATTACTGCAACAAAAGGTGACTTCGTCGTAAAAATGTTTTGAGTCAGTCTTTGATCAGACCGGTTCATTACAAGTGTCTTCTCCAGTAAACTAAACTAACGAAAGGACACTTTTATTAAAAGTATGTAACAATTTATAAGTGTCATAAACGCTAAATAACGACATTTTTTGAAATATGGAACTATCAAAGTAAAAAATATTCAAATATAGTAGAGTCGATTCAAAGAAAGAAGACAACACATAAATTATTCTTTCAATAATAATTAATCAATATATATACAATGTGAGTCTGCAAACAATAAACTATAAAAATGGGGATAGACTTCCTTGATGTCTGAAAAATAATTTTGTACGAAAGTGAATACTTTATAATAGGAGTGTATATCATAGGCGTGTGCACGGGGGCAGCAGAGGCAGCAAATCCTGCCCCTGAAATTTCTTTGGGGCTACCAGGGCCGGAAAGTATTAAATAATGGGCCTCGGTAAAATTATATTTCCATAAATGATTTTTTTTTTATTGGTAAAGTATAGATAAATATTTAATATTTATAGAATTTAACAGTATAAAACTACAAGACCTGTCTACTATAAAAAGAAATAGCCATGATTTTTAATCGTAAATATTATCATTTTGACCTACGTGATGTTGGCCCACCCTTTTTTCACGGATTAACTGGAAACCTATACCAATACTTTGCGAGTTAGTTGCGATAATTTGCAAGTTCATTTTCAAAATTTTCGAGTAAGTCGTTTGCGAGTTATAATTAAAAAACAGAAGGGTGGGCCAACTTCACGTAGCCCCTCCAAGTCGCTCTAGAACTTCAAAACCGATACCAAACGATGCGTCTTTATTTGCGAGAATATGCGAGTCCATTTTCAAAATTCGCGAGTTCACCCCTTACCCACAAATTCCATTTTCCTACCGTGTAGTTAGCTAACCCAAGACGCCCTAGAATTTCAAAATTGATACCAAACAATGTGTCTTTATTTGCGAGTTCATTTTCAAAATGTGCGAGTAAGCCGTTTGCGAATTATAAAAGAAACAAAAGGGTGGGCCAACTTCACGTAGCCCCTCCAAGTCATCCTAGAACTTCAAAACCGATACCAAACGATGCGTCTTTATTTGCAAGAATTTGCGAGTTTACCCCTTACCCGCAAATTCCATTTTCCTACCGTGAAGTTAGCCCACCCAAGTCGCCCTAGAATTTCAAAATTGATACCAAACAATGCGTCTTTATTTGCTAGAATTTGCGATTTCACCCCTTACCCACAAATTCCATTTTCCTACCGTGAAGTCAGCACACTTAACACGCCCTAGAATTTCAATGGCCCGTTTTCAAAGGAAACAAAGTAATAACCGGTTGTAGATAAGATATTTTGTCACCACAGCTAGGGTTACAAAAAAATCAGTTTTTTTAAAAAAAACATAAAATACGTTTTAATTGTTTGAAACAATGTTTTTTATGTTATATTTTTTAAAAATTTTCGTGAAAAGCTGTACACACTATTCACGAAATTCAACGAAAACGTGAAAACATGAAACGCGAAACATGCATAGTGTGGAGCGACCTTAATAAATAAAGAAATTTTTATTTTATTGCATATGCGCAGATAAAAAAAAAATTAAAAATGAGAATTTATCAAAAACATATGTATTTATATGTCCTGTACCCTGTAAAAAAAACCAGAATTGAATTCAAGGTCATGCGTCATCGAAATATTTCTTGTTACCTTTAAAATTGAACACATGATATGGTATTTATCATATATTATTTTTGCTGGAACAATATGAGTATTAGATTAGTATTACTTAGTATACAGTGAATATTTTTATTTATTCATGAGTCTATAATAATTTTTTTTTTTTTTTATTTTGAAATAAGAACATTTAACAATCTGTACTCGTGGTACAATAAGCTTAATAGATATTTGAATTACAATAGTAATAGAATTAATACAAACACAAACGCAACAGCATTCAATTTATATATAACGATATTCTTATTTTACATGAAAATCTTGAATTGAAGAGACTGTCCAGCAACAGCCCTTCGGCGAGAATTTTTTTTTTTTTTACGATTAACGTATAATAATTAAAATATAATTTATTCCTGGATAATATAGAAAAATAATTACACAGTGTTTAATGACTATTATATTAATATTTCCTTACATGCATACGATTTTTAGTTTAAACTAGCTTTCCTTGTAGGATCACGTGTTTTGGAAATAATAGTATTCAAATAATACTTTTATTAGAATCTTACTATATACATGTATGCCATATTTCCTTAGGCAGACACCAGCAACTTGCGGCCCACCATACCTTTTTCTTTAACCTTCCAATTATATACTCGTATCATGATTTTAAAAATATTAATTTTTTTACCTTAAATTGTAGTACATAAAATCGAAACGGAAGTATTATAATTTTACGTATAAAAGCTATGAACTTACTACACGTATGATGAGAGTCATAGAATTTCAAAAAAACGACGTTCTTAAAATTGCTTTTGAAGAAAGTAATGAGTCATTACTAATGACTATAAAATATTTTATTCAAGCCTTTCTAAAATATATTTCAAACGTATTAAAAGTTTTTCTGAAAAATGATAACTGTTTTTGGTACCTAGCACTAATATTTTTAAGACATTTTAAGATATTTCCAATACTTAAATTTCGAAAAAATACGTGAATGCAGATTAAGAATATTAACATGCAATATGAAAGCAGATATAATTAATTAGCGAGAAATGTGTTATCTCAAAAATCACACTAGAAACTAAATATTCATATTTTTTGCACTCAAGAATTAACTAATTTTTTTTTTAACTTTTTAAATTTAATGTATTTTATTCTAATTTAGTTACTAAGTTAACTTAACTTCGCATTATAAAACTCATATTATGACTATTACTATCCATAAATATATATTAAGTTTATACGTTAAAATTGTATTTTTAATGACGTTAATTTTAAATTTTATGTGACTCACATTAAAAAGCTGATAAAAAAATATGGTCTTTGTAAGTAAAAAGGTTGCCGATTCCTAGTTTAGGGTCTCGTGGTTGACTTTTATAGTTTGTTATAAAGCTTACTAGATTTTTTTTTTTTTTAATATGAAACACATTGCAACGGAATTTTGTTTTTTTCTTTTTTTTTTATAAGTACAATTTTTATATTACAATAATGATTAATTTATCATAAATTTGGATTAACACCATTTTTTTTCTTTTATGTTTTACATATTCAATTTTTATAATACAATAATGATTAACATCATATCAGGATGAAGTAAATTATGGTTTGTTCATTACTAAAGGTTAGCTAACCTAACCTTATGCTTTGGAGACAGTTGTTGGATGTGCGCCCGAGCTACACATATACCATAGTCGTAGCACATATGTGCACCGAACTGATAAATGAGACGAAATGTTAAAATCTAAAGACTTAGACCGACTACCTCATTTTCCAAATCGTGCCTTCGCTCCATTTACTCCAAAACCTCTCAAATCCACGTCCAAGTACACCACAGATAGTAGTCCTAAACTCTCTAAAACCTCACACTTCCAGGCAAGACCACATTTTACAAAACAAAAGAACAGCTCTAACCTCGCAATTCGACTACCAAATCTTCAGCTACAGTACGGTTCCAAATATGAATTGAGATTCTCCTCTATATAGTTGATTACAGATACGAGTGTAGTCCTGTATTATCACGAACCTCCTAAAGGTCATAAATGTCGAATCGTTAGCCACCATACGGGACGTATAAGGACAAAGTGTTCGCTCTTGCCACGTCATGAAAACCATGTGTAGTTCTATCTCCTTCTCCCAAGAAAAAGAACCTCACACTTCAGAAAACAAAAACTGTAATTTTCTAGAACTCAGATCTCGCGAACTCACTATCAGGTTGTCCTTCCTCTTACTGTATTAAAAAACTCATCATAAACATTAACTTCTCGTCCATCACGTTGGGCCACTTATTTCCAGTGGCACGGTCATATGCTCGATCTGATGTTGCACAAACTCTGATTCAAATTCAAACAAAAAAAGTTACAATAGTTTCAATTTAAATACGATTTACAACGCCCTACTTTCGAAGCTCTTCAAAGCTATACTGAGGTCGTTCATTTTCCGTCACTGGTATCTGCTATGAGTATTCCGGAATTTGTTGATTGCTCGTTTTTATACTTTGATTTTATTTGGAATTAAAGACTAAATATCGGTCGGCTGTAAAATGTAAAATTAAATTACTATTTTATAGAATATATTTGATATTGAATAATAAAGTATATATTACTAATCTTCTTCTTCACCTTTCTTCCAACAATTTAGGGTCAGCCACCTTTGTCATAAACCTCTACTCATTTCGATTTTCTACATTTTCTACGCATTTACCAATGGCCCTCAAACCATTTTCAATCGTATCCAACCATCTCTATTTGGTCTTTCTCTTCCTCTTTTCCCTTCAACATTAATTTTCATAACAACTCTTACTGCATTTGTATCCTCTCGAATCAAAAAAAAAAAATTATTCCAATTAACAATTATAGTTGAATGCAATTTTATTTATATGATTTTTTAAATAAAATTATATTTGAATAATGCCCTACTCTGTAAGATACAACACTTTTGTTATTAAATTGTTGTATCTATCATATACTCGTATATACAAATTCAGTATATCTGATATTCTGTCAGTAGACCGAAAAACATAGTTTATATCGATACCTTTAACTTTATAACTATTTGTTTGACCTAGACATTATAGATTAGAAGTAACTTATGAACATGATCAACGATTAAGATTATAATGACGTAAGAGAAAATTTTATTGCTGGCACTAAGACTTTACAGGATAATAAGATAATAAAAATATGGAAAATAATTATATTGTATATGAAAACGAAAAAAAAAATTGCATT